TGAATTACACAATAAAGAAGTGGACTTGGTGCTTGTCAAGTGGAAACACCATCGAGGCCCAAATTATACTTGGGAAAATAAGAATGAAATAAGAGCGAAATATCCTCATTTGTTTAAATCATTGTAATTTCAGGGACGAAATCCTCAAAAGGATGAGGTATTTTTAACATACACGTTCAGTTATCATGTTTTGTTTAAAAATGATTATTATTATATAATATATGAGTTTGAGCATTGAGTTCTAACAAGATAGTTTTATGAGATTTGAAGTAGAACTATGCTTAGAATCATTCAGAAAATATTGAAAATCTTATGAGATTCCAATCAAAAGCCAAATATTGAAATTTACAAAAATGTAAAAAAAAAAAATTAAGTTGGAAATAAGTAAAAATAATATTATTGAAAGTTGTAGATTATCTCGTTAGAAACATTTAGGCGAAAACCTCATTGAAATCCAAGTTATAACAAAGAAATTATGACTTATTGAATTTTTGCTACAGAACCGGCACAACGCCATATGACGTAAAAAGTGGGTTTACGATAAACTACTTTTTAGCTTTAATTATCTAAATGAAACTCGTAGTATTCATTAAACTAAGAATTTTCATAAAAAAACATCCAAATCTGACTTCATATGAGGAAGTTATGATTTTCGAGGTTTCACTATAGCAGTATACAACTAAAAACTCAAAATAAAGATCGAGTGATTTCTAGCTGACACAGTCTAAATGAGAATCGAATGTCTCGTCAATAGTAGTACAACGGTAAAAAGACAGACGAAAACGGATATCGGATGAAGAAGTTACGAATTTTAACGGACTTTTCCTGTCCTGGCCTGTTAAAAATATAATATCAAAAATGAAGTTAAAATTAGACGAAGGAATCTAAACAAAAGTTTTAGAGCGCGGTCATACCTATGCGTGGATATAAATAATGTCAAATACGGAGTTAGTATGCGAAAGTTATGAATTTTTGAAGTTTGATAAATCAAAGTACGCTCAGCATACATGAGTACGCCTAGCATACTAGTGTATGTGATCCAAAGTTGGCTACGTCGCCTACTTCTTTGCATGTGGTACACGTATTCGTTGCCTTGATGCGTCTGAACTAATCCCCTCGTACGCCCAACATACGATGGCTTACGCCCAGTGTAGTGGCTATTAAAGGAGTACGCCCCGCATACATGAAATTATGCCCAACGTAATCAGGTGCTTCGGATACTATAAATAAGGCGCGAGGCTGTCCGAATTTTGGTTACAAATTTGATTCTCTCTCACCCTCTACTCTCTCTTAAATTACCCTAACACCCCCGAAGCCTAGGAAACATCCCCGACATCCGAAACAAGTCCCGACGCACCGAAGACTTGAGAAAATAATATTTTCAAGTTAAAACTCTGCCCGCGTAAGGCCCGATTTTCAACTAAAATCCCCGGTTTCGTCAAAGAAAGTTATTTTTAGAGGCGAAGTGCTGCCCAAATTACCATTTCATCAATCGGTTATTTCACGGTGAGTTTAATATAAGGACAATTGTATGTTATGTGTTATATGTGAAATATGTTTTCCCGTGTTATTATAATAATGAACTATACATTTGACCACGAAAGTGAATGACTAAGCATCACTTGGGTATTGGTATGTAGCCTATGACCATGAAGTGAATGAGTAAGCATCACTTTGGCATTGATAGAATGCTAGATAGGGCTGAAAGCCTGTAAATTCTAGCAAAATGTTAATTCAGAAATCGTTTATTTCCTGTACCGCTTGAGCTGAAGTCTTATTGATGTATATCAAGATGAAATTGTTGAATCTCATTGATTGCAAATCTCTGAATCAAATCATTTGTTGAAATGGAAAGATTGTCACATGATTCACATGTCTTTGTTGTTCTTTGTCCCTATTTGTTTATGTCATATTGATATGTATATGACATAACATTATATTGTAACTGTTATTGAACTCACTAAGCATCACCCGCTTATCTCTCTCAATGTTTAAACTATTACATGTGATAAGCATCCAGTATAGTCATGTACTGGTAGAAGATGTAGAATAGATAATATTATAACTTTTGTATTTAGTGTATAATTTCCTGGGAATTTATGTAATATATAAAATCTTGTAAAAATTTTAATAGTCGGTTCGTATCCAGTCTTTTGTAATTTAACTATCAATATAAAATATTGTTTATGAATATGCATGTAGCATATTTTGGAGTAATATGATGTAGTTTTAGATCATTTTCCAACCGAATTATAATTCGGTTTGGTCTTAAGAATTTGAATTCGATTTGGTTTGGTTTTCGAATTGGACAAAAAAAAAGATTTCAAACCGAAGAAACCGATTCGAGGAAACTGAAAAACCGAACTGATTTCTACCCCTAATTGTAACTTATCGAGGAAACTGAAAAACCGAACCGAGAGAGTGTTTGACTTATTTTTTGAGAGATCAAAAGTCCTTTTAGAAAAAGATAAAATGTAAAGATATTTGATAAAAAAAAAAAAAAAAAACTACTTTTGAATTTGGAATATAAGAAAATCAAACCGTCTTTTTTATAACTTTTAAAAAAAGGACTCGATTCCTTTGGCCCCTAATTGTAACTTATAGAAATTGTGAGGGGAAAATTTTGTAATGTACCGTTCTTTATTATGTGCCTGCCCACCGCGTGTTCTTCCTTTCGCTCTCCCTCCACCTCCCCGTCCTCCCTCCATCTACGTTTCCCATCATAAACATACACAAAAATAACCCACAAACAGGTGGGTCGATAAATGCAGAGAGGGATTTTGAATAACTAAACATCGTTTTGTTTTAAATTTTGGGTTTTTTAGGTTTAGAATTTCGAACCAGATTTGAACTCCACAAAAATGTCGATCATATCGCAGGATGTGATAAAGGAATTCGAGAATATGATGGAATCAAGTCGGTGTTTTTCCCTAAAAAACCCTAATTCGTTGCTATCTTTGATTCATTTTCTTTTTCTTGTTATTTTGATCGCTAACATTTTTCTTTTTCTTTTTGCAAATTTGTTGTTTCAGTTGATGAGCCACTCAAGATTACGTTTGAGGTTTAGCTTTCTGCTCTCTTTCTATTTGTTTACATCATTATGTTTCTGATGGATCTGCTGGGTGTAGTTGAGAATGTGTATTTCAAATTAACGTGATCCTGTTTGGTAATTGTAAATCGTTTTGTGCTTGATCGGAACCTCCATATTCGAATCATAAGTTAACATTCGAGTCTTTTTGCTCAAATGAACAAGAGGTGTCAAATTGTAATACAAATGAACTCCCAGGTTGAAATTTTCTTATTTTCTGGTTTAGGCACCCATTTTTTTTTTGTAGTTTAAGTTTTTTTAGTATAAAATCATAACGGAATAATTTTCACCCTAAAAAAGGATATTTTTTTTTTATATCTACTTATTAAGCATTCAATTTTCTGGTTCTGCCATATATTAATGATAGCGATTGAGGTCTCACGTGGTGGTGTTATTTGAGTTTTGATGTCAATTAGGTTACTTCAAAAAAAAAAAATCTTTAAAGATTATTTGAAAAAGAAGTTTATCTTTAATTTTTATGGAGTTGTTTTACTCGAAGTGGAATTGGATGGTTATTTTCAGAATTTGCATCAAGGGTATCCAACTGAGGCCCTGATCCGGTTTCTAAAAGCAAGAGATGCAAATGTCCCCAGGGCCCACAAAATGGTCAGCTCAAATTCCTTTTTATGAAAGTCGAAATTCATATCTTATTTCAAGATTCCTTAAAAATGGAAATGGTCCTAATATTATAAATTTCAGCTTGTTGATTGTTTAAGTTGGAGGATTCAAAATGAGATTGATAATATATTGTCGGTGAGTTTCGACTATTTTTATTTTAACATGGTGCATTAATATAAATTCTATATATTCATGATTGCTATAGCCTATAAATAAGTCTATTCAAAATATTAACTTTTTTTTGTTTATATCATCTATACAGAAACCGATTGTTCCTGCTGACTTTTATAGAGGAGTCCGTGATTCACAGCTTTTAGGAATGTCAGGTTACACAAAAGAGGTATTTTACAATTTTGGCCTCCAAAGAAACATGGTAATTAAAGATTTCAATGACAACTGACTGTTGTTTGGTTTTGTTTGTTGTTAAAGGGGCGACCTGTTTTTGCTGTTGGTGTAGGGCTCAGCACATATGATAATGCCTCTGTAAGATAAGACTTATCATTAATGTTTTCTTACTTGGAAAAAAGGGTATATTCGTCTTTTGCTGTGGTATAGGCCATGTGTAAACATAACATAATGCAGCTACTATTCTCTCCACAAATAAATAATAAGTCGGTTTATACGAACGTCTTGATTATCGTAATTCTCTTCCTTTTTTTTAGATTCATTACTATGTTCAGTCGCATATCCAGATAAATGAATACAGAGACCGGATATTACTGGTAAGTTATTAATTGCAATAAGTAAATAATATTAGCTTTTAGCTTTTAGTTGATAATCCGATTTTCCTTTTTTTTTTTTTTTTTTTTTTTTTATTTCTAGCCAGCTGCAACGAAAAAGTTTGACCGACATATTAGCACATGTGTGAAGGTTCTGGATATGACTGGACTTAAAATCTCACAACTCAGTCAACTTAAGGTGCTAAGACTGATTTTCTTTTAGTATAAATCTATATAATACAGTATATTTTTGGCCTGTTAAAGAAATTCAAGTTTCATGTCCTTACTTTTGTAGCCAACTTAAAATTTATGAAATAGCGTGACAAAATAATAATAAAAATCATATATATATATATTTTTTTTTATGATTGTATGCAGTTATTGACAGTTATATCTAGCATTGATGACTTGAACTACCCAGAAAAGAGTGACGCCTACTATATTGTGAATGCTCCATACATATTTTCAGCTTGCTGGAAGGTTTGTTATTTTAACTTCAACAAACAAAAAAAAAATTAATTTCCTGTTCGCCTGTAAGTTTAAAGTTTGTAGGTTGTGAGGCCTCTTTTGCAAGAAAGAACAAGGAAGAAAGTTCAAGTTCTTTCAGGTTGTGGAAAAGATGAATTATTGAAGGTGATAATCTCATAATGATATATTTTTACTTTTAAATAATCGAAGAGGGAAAAAAAAAAAAAATTAAAAGATGAAAAGAGAGTAGACTGGTAACGTAACGATGTTTGACTTGTTGAATAATGGGCAGATAATGGATTATGATTCACTCCCACATTTTGTTAGAAGAGAAGGAGGGGGATCATCTTCATCGAGAGGTTCAAAAAACAGCAATGGTACTGATGACAATTGCTTCTCATTGGATCATGAGTTCCATCAGGAGCTTTATAATTATATTAACAAGCAAGCTGAGGATGTGGAGCCTCCACGTGTCACAAAACACAGATCATTTCATGTGGACTTCCCTGAACCCAATCCGGATGATTGTAAGATTGCACAGAGTATAGAATCCGAATTACAAAAGTTCAGTCAGGGGAATGGAATTGCTGACCCCACACTAAATCAAGATCATAAGCAAAAGAAATAATTATACTATTAATAAAATTAAATATTTATTCCCTAAAAACCCGTTGAGGGTTTTAAGGATTACAAAAAAGACAGAAATGCTGTAACTTTATAACTTGCTTTCATGAGGGTAATAATCCTTCCTTGTGTCTCTCTCTATCTCTCTTTCAACTTTAAAAACTTGGTTTTCAATGTAACTTTTTTTGGATGAAAGAAACAGAAGGAGAAGAAACGAATATTACCTTCTTTTTATCAACTGTTTGCTTCGTACATATATAATATGATGATGTTAAAAGATTATTTGAAAAGAATGGTAACACTGACAGATGAAAGGAAAAGATGAATTAGGATAAATATGTAACAAGTTGGAATTTAATAAAGAAACTCTTATTCTGTTTACCCCTTATTTTTATTTATTAAATGATTCTCTACTTCATCTTTTTCATGCTTTAGATCAAATTTCTTTAATTTCTAACAAGATATGATAATATTTATTACAAAAATTTGAAGGTATAATCTCTACTTCATCTTGACACATGTTTCATGTTTGTGATTATAAAGAAAATATTATTATTAAGGATAACATATTTTTAAGGGAAATATTACCTCTAAAGTATGCAAATTAAATGTAATATTGGTGCATGGAAATTGTGGGTAACTTGATAACTTTGACACATTTTAGATTATTTGTTAAAATTTACGGAAAATGATGGATGTGTGACTAATTTCATGAACACATGACCAAATTAAAAAGGCGTGTTGAGGATTCTCAAGTTAGGAGCTAAATATTGATGATGTAGTTTCTTGCATGTTATAAAATGTTAGATGAAGTGCATATTTAGCAAGTATCTTTAGATGATATCAAATAAGATAGCGGTGCTATTTTAATAAAAGAAACATCAAAATGTATACGATGAAATGGGTGTGTAGTGGATCTAAAATCACTTGTGAAGTGATTGGCGCTTGAAAGTATAAATATAAATCACTGAATTAAAAAATAAGATGAAAAAAATATATTTCTTATATCGGAAGAAGTGGAAGAAAAGCTTCTCTCATTTTTGGTGGGCCATACCTTCTTTCCCTCACTTTTCTTTTCCTCACCTAAAAGTCAAGGAATGGGTGGGAAACCCTTTCCTCACTTTATATATATATATATATATTAAATAAAATAAATTTTTTTATTTATAATTTTTAAATTAATATCAAATATAAAATTTAATTAAAAATAAAAAGCATTTCATTAAGTAAAATAAAAATTACATTAACCATAATATTTAAATAAGTAGAAAAAAAAACCGCAAAAAAAAAAAAAAAAAAAAAAAAATCAAACAAACTACAACATAGTAAATTTTTTTAATTAATATCCTAATTTTATTTAAACCTAGATACGTCACTCGGAATCATCGTCTTCGGCATATCACTCTTCCTTCGTCTTCAAGAATCATATTATGCAATACTATACATGCATACATTACGTGTTGTAACCTTTTCACCTTATATGACCTTGCTCCGACCGTTAGTACTTGTCAACGTCTCTTAAGTACACCAAATGTTCGCTCCACATCCTTCCTAGCTGACTCTTGCGCCTCTTTAAACTTTTTCTTTTCGGGTCGTTAGGACATGTAAACGATTTTACAAAAACAGACAAGGGAGGATATATACCGTCAGTAAGATAGTATCTACACTTATATGCTACCCTATTTGCTTGAAAATGTACATCGTGTGACTTTCCAAGGTAGATATCGTTGAATACAAGCGACTGGTCTAGCACGTTGATGTCATTGTTTGCACCAGCTGGACCAAAGAATGCATGTTATATCCAAAGATCATGTGATACGATAGCCTCTAGAATGATCGTCGGCTCTTTGTGGTCGCCTCTCATTTATTGACCACGCCATGCGTTGGGGCATAATGACCAGCTCCAATGCATGCAATCAATACTACCTAGCATTCTGGGGAATCCATGTTTGCCTTCATACACCGTATACAATTGGTGGATATCGTTGATAGTTGGTTTGCGCAAATATCGTTGCCCATAAACCAAATAGATCGCTTTGCAGAACTTGTACACAGACTCCCTCACGGTACGCTCTGACATCCTAAAATACTCGTCCTATTTGTCTGCGCCCATGCCGTATACTAGCTGACGAATTGAAGCTGTGCATTTTTGAATGGGAGAGAAACATTTTTCCCCTTGCATCCATTTTCCATTAGAAATATGGAAAGCGGCCTTCCAAATCGCCAACAATACGTAAAAATAGTTCCTTCATCATCCGGAACCGACGTCGAAACTTTACAGCGTAGACGACGTCATCTGCAAAATAATCTTCTATAAGGCGATCGTGTCCGGCTTCGTGATTTCTACGTAACGACGACTTTCTTAGGTTAGGTCGTGCACATGATGTTTCACCTAGTTGGTTTTGATAGTATGCAACCATTTTCGCCATAACAGAACCGATAAACTTAGCCTCCTTTACTGCTGTCGAATCAGATGATGAAGATGATGATATTTTGAGTAATATTTTTTAGAGACAAATATATATTATGGTTTAAAAAATGATAAAATGTTTGAGTATTTATAGATTAAGAAAAGGGAAGGAAAAAAAGAAAAAAATATATATAAATATATACATATGCAATGGCTATATAGCCGTTTGAGTAAAAAAAGAACAAAAAAAAAACTCGTTGGCCAATGGTTAGAAGAGAGAGAGCGGGACTCTCTCCCCCCAGTGTCTTCCCGCGTTTCCTTTCCCGCACCCACGGTGCAGTGTGCGTAAGTGTGGGATCGGTTCTCGATCCTTCCCCACAGTCCCACTCCGTCCGACCTTAGAACAATATTTTTCTGTTATTGATGGATTTTTTTTTTCATTAGTATTTTGAAAAGATCTGTCGGCTGTTGCTTTTTTCTTTAAGTCTTATTTGTCAAACCCTTATTGGTTCCACCGTTTATGTTGTACACATACTTGCCTCCACTCCACTGATATCGACGTGTTGCTTGGAGGATGGTATTCTCTTCTGTTGTCTCTCACTCTCGATCTTCCTCACCCTTCTCTCTCAGCTTCCCTTTTGTCTCATTTTCTTCTTCTTCTAGGTAATTCCTTTTCTTTTGTTTTATTTTTTTGGTTTGTGTCTGTCGTTCCGGACAATTATCGTTGATTCTATTCACACTTTCATTGATATTCAATTTCTTCATCATCATGTCGATCTTCATTAGACGCCCCTCCTCCCCCCCTCTCTCTGTAGCACCTGGTTTCCGGTATGTGAATTTTATTTGAGCATTGCTCTAATTTAGCCTTGGACTCGGCGAGTCATAGGGTCCGACTCGCCGAGTAGGGACGAGACTCAGGACACGTTTTAAGTAGGCGACTCGGCGAGTCCACATCCTGGACTCGGCGAGTCACCGCTGCTGGATGAAACCCTAAGTTTCAAGGGTTTGCACCCTATTTAAACTTTCATTCCGCCCCAACTCGTCCCTATTCACCCCCAGAACTCCCCCTTCATCGTTTTCCCTTGTTTCCTTGAGAGTTTGAGGTGTTCTTGGTGTGTTCTTGAAGGTTTTGAGGAGTAAGAGGAGTAGATCAAGAAGAGGAGAAGGAGATCAGCCATCTTTGTGTCATTTCAGCATTTCCTTTGAGGTATAACCCGTTTTCCCCTTGGTTCTATGCTTAAAACTTCATTTGGGTCCTTCTTGGTCAATTCCCCAAGTTTGTATGTGCATTATATGTGGTAATAAGGCGTTTGGCCTTTGGATCTATGCAAGATTGAGCTCCAGGAGCTCAGATCTGTTAGCTTTTTGGCCCCATGAGGCTTGTTAGCCCTAGATCTACCCCTTTTGAGACATTTTGAGCCCTATAATCCATATTGGTGAATATCCACACGTAAAGTTGGAAACTTTACGTGGGATTCGTGTCCTAGAAGTCCAGATCTATGAATGGCATGGACTGGAACCGAACAAATCGGTATATTTAAGGAGTGCATGGCGACGACTCGGCGAGTCGCATAGGTGACTCGGCGAGTCTGGTCGCGAGTCACCGATTTGGTCCCTTCTTCATGTGTCGAGTTGAGCCTTGAGTCACAGGGGGTGACTCGGTGAGTTGGGAGCTGAACTCACCCATGTTAGGACTCGGCGAGTCAATGCCCTGACTCGGCGAGTCCAAGGCAATCTTCATAGCTCAAGAACAGACTCGGCGAGTTGTTCATACAACTCGGCGAGTCTTAGCATAAAGTGTTCATCGGATGAAGATGAACTCGACGAGTTGTTCATACAACTCGGCGAGTAGGATGAAGGTGTTGAATGACAGTTAGAAGGTGAACTCGTCGAGTCATAGCCCGACTCGACGAGTAGAACCAGGGACCCAGGACATTGGTTTGCTAGGGACTCGGCGAGTGGTGATCCACTCGGCGAGTCGGGTCAACTGAAAGTTGACTCCAGCTTTGGCTTAGAGCTAATCCAGGGGTAAAATGGTCATTTTACCTAAAGGACAGTTAGCAGTGTTTGATTGAGTATGTCGTGGAAATTGCAGCCGGAGGACTCCCGGAGCAGCAGCAGTCAGTTAGTTCCCGATCAGTTCAGCAGCTACTTTGAGGTGAGTTACCTTCCAGTAGCGGTGGGTCTAAGGCCACAATGCCGACCCACCAGTAGGAGATGTATGATAGATGATTGTCTTTGTGATATCATCTAAGTTCGCTATTACCTGACATGTTATATGCTAGCATGATATGCTGTATGTGATAGTAGTAGAGTTTGGTTGTTCGGACCGAAGGGTAGTCAGACACCCCAGATACGTCTGACAGTATGTGATGATATGTATGCATGCTGGCTTGTTATGTTATATGTGATCGTAGTAGTAGGGGTGAAATAGTCCCCGAGGATCGGTTGTTAGGACCGATGGGTAGTCAGCACCCCAGAATGGCTTGACATGGGTAGTCAGCACCCCAGAATGGCTTGACACGGGTAAGACGGCACCCCAGAATGGCCGTATGGGTAGGTCGGCACCCCAGAATGGTCGTACCGGGTAGTCAGGCACCCCAGAATAGCCTGGCAGTATGTATGTTATGTGTTTGTATGGTATGCGGTACGTTGGGGGAACTCACTAAGCTTTGTGCTTACGTTTACAGTTTTGTTTTCAGGTATCTCTGCATCGAAGGGGAAGGAGCCGCGCGCGGGTAGCGGCACGTCATACACACACTCTTCGGTTTCCGCATTTATGAGATTTACTGGGATTGTACTCTGATATTTTGATGGGATGTACGGTTTGGCTTTTGAGAACATGGTTGCAATGTGTTATGGTGTGAACAAACAATGTTTTTATTTATTAATGTTTTCTAAAGTAATATCTTAAAAATGAAATTTTCGGACGTAAAA